ATAAAAGCATTTTAGCATTTTAGCCTTTATGCATAACTTTTATGCATAACTTATAACTTATCTTAGTTCACACGAATGTTCCATCTATCTGCTCCTGACCCTGCCCCCGTGTTTAATTTTAGGACAATTGTGGCCCGCGAGTTAAAAAGTTTGGTATTAGGATGGGTACATTAGGAGTGAAAAACGAAGAAATCCAAGACTACCGGTTTCCACACATGGTAAAGCAGCCTTAAAAATAAATGAAGAAACAGAAGTGAAAAAGACAAAGTGAAGCAGTGACCAGTTCTCGAGGGCGGAGGTTGAAGAGGATCCTCTCGGCGTTCTCACTGTCATGACGACTTTCCATTAGAGCCAGCAGCAGTTTGGAAGCGTTGTCCTAGGAAGACGTGGAAAGCAGGTCAAATGTGTTCTTCGAGGGTTTTGTCTTTGACATGATCTCCTCAGAACTGACCTTCAGCTGCAGAACCATCTCCATTCTGTATTTACACAGCGGGCTGATGTCGTTCAGGATCAGCGCCGTGATAATGTCGATGCCGTTGGACTCGTGGGTAACGATGCACGTCTAAAAAAAAACAAAAAAAACAACAACACAGAGGTGGTAGAGACCGGTAGAGATGTGGAATGTGTTTCTCTCTCCCAGTATCGATGTCATGTACCTGGTTCTCCTGACACGGGCCCTGACAGTACTCTGTGAGGGTCTCCAGGGTCTGGATGATGAGGTGGACATTTGATTCGTTGATGTAGAGGCCCAGCAGACCCAGACCTCCAGTGGTGCTCCCGCACATGATGTCCAGGAACTGCAGAGTCTCACACACCAGGTTGTAGTTGGTCTTGTTATTCTGACAGCGTAGAAAGTTCTGGAAAAGAAAACGTTTGTGTCCTCAAGTCCAGATGATCTGAACTGCACTAAGAGTCCGTGAAGAAGCTTCTCTGGTTGGACTTTGTTTTTTGTGTCAGTGACAAACCTGTAGGTCGTGGTTGTGGTTCTCGCAGAGAAGCTGCAAAAACCTCAGGATTGGCTTCATGATGGTCACGGCTGGTCCCATCTCCGTCTCCACCTCCTTCTGTTCTGTTGCTGGATGAGCCGGCAGCACCGCAGCGCTTCCTACGGGAGCAATAGACTGACCCTGTACAAGCAGCTGGTGGCCTCCTAAGTAAAAGAAGAAATGACATGATAGAGTCAGATTAAATCAAAATGTACGTCGTTTGTGCTGATAAAACTCAATTACTCAAAAGGGGGCCAAACCTTAAAACACAGTCTAAATTGTTGGACAAACAAGATTTACATTTACAGAATACTGACGATGCTAACCAGAAATATTTTATTTGAATTTACTCTAACGTTATTTTTTTTTAATAAAATACATTTCAAAATAATAATAATAAAAAAAACAGAAAACGAAAAAAAGAAAAAATTAGAATAAAAAAAAATTTTAAATTATTATTACAGAACTAGAATTGTGAAATCTGCATTTAACCCCTCTAGTAAAATCTAGTAAAATTGTCCTAAAATTGAACAGGGGGGCGGGGTCAGGAGCAGATAGATGGAGCGTTCGTGTGAACTAAGATAAATGACACGAAAAAGTCATGCATAAAGGCTAAAATGCTAATGCTAAAATGCTAAAATGCTTTTATCATTTTCTATGCCATCTACTGGTAAAACGTGGGTAATGCAGGGAAAAGGCAGAAGTATAACAATGATATAAATAAATTATATAATTTAGAAAAGTTTAACGGGCCGAATTAAATTAGCTGAACGGGCTGCATCCGGCCCCCGGGCCTTAGTTTGGCCGTGCCTGGTGTAGACTCTGTTCTATATATTTTTATTTCAAGACACCCATACACTCTAAGCTGAGCTCTGGTGGGCCATTTAAAATGATGGATGTGGTCTTGTGATATGTGTGTTAAAGAGTTGTTTTGTAAGCTAGGATTGTTAGCATACACTTTAATTATTAAGCTAGCTTCTGCTGTTAGCTCCAGTTAACATAACCTCACTTTGAAAAATGCTGTATGCCAAATCTTACCATTTTCCATCTCCTTCTCATTGGCTTTATTTGACATTTCACCAACATTGACTGAAACTGTGGCCTTGATGTCATTCTGTGCCTCTTTCATCCGGTCGTGAAGAACCTTAAAGAACTTCTCCGACTTGTTGTCGCCCATCATAAGTTTGTAGAAGGAGTTCTGCTCCACGAACAAAACAAATAATGTCAATGGAGCAGCGTACACATAAAACGTCAAATGACAAAGCGATAATTCTGGCCACGTATTATCACTGTGTTTCAGACTCTGTACCTGTATCTCCGTGTTTCCTCCTTCCAGCAGACAGATGGCCAGCTGGATGCTCTCCAGGAAGATCTTGTCATTCTTGGTGCTCATCACCAGATCAGTGAAGAGCTTTGTTCCTCCTTCGCGGTCCAGACGACACTGAACCGTTGCCACCATCGTCCAATCGCGTTCCTGCTCCGCACCTAATGGAAACAAACGCACCAAATTTCGCACGATGCTGCGCATACGTGTGCACGTAAATGCGAACGTGTGTTTACCTGCGGCTCCAAGCTCAGCCAGGTCTGTCTTGGGATTGTTCTTCTTGTTTGGAAACAGGTAGTTCTGCAGCAATACCTTCCTCAGAGAGATTCCCTAAAATAAATCCGAGAACGGGATTAAACGCAAATTTCTAAATTGGATTTCGATGCCTGACGCGCCAGATTAACAGAGATCAAGTCACCTTTTCATCAAAGTCCAGAGTCCTGATCAACATCTCCTGCAGGGTTCTCAGGACACTGATACACAGCTTGTCCTCTGAGGACATGAGAGCCTTGGTGTGCATTATTAACCTGCAACATACACATGGATTTTTTTCCATCATGGTTGTTCAGCCTCTGACACTCAGTTGGGTTGGTTTGTTGTTCTGAATAAAAAAAAAAAAAAACCTACTTGGAGATAAATCCTCCAGACTCACAGCGCTGCCGAGCATCGGTTCCCTCCAGAAACAGCAGCTCGGGCTGATGAAGAACATCTACCAGAACTGAGAGCTCAGCATTTACCAGAGGCTTCAGACGTTCCTCCAGAGTATTGATGATGTCCTGATGGAAAAACAACCACAGTTGAAACCCAAGGTTGATAACAAACAACGCAAGTTTACGTATCAAGCCAAAGGTAAACTACGATTTGACACATAAATACTCATAATCTTGACTATTGACTATTTTTTTTTAACTGAGGTGTGGGGTCCTAAAATTTATTTTGGGCCAGGTCAGGAGCAGATAGATAGAGTGTTCCTTAGTGTGAACTAAGATACATGACATGGAAAAGTCATGCATAAATGCTAACATGCTAACATGCTTCCAGCATTTCTACACCATTTAAAGGAGAAATGTGGGCATTGCAGAGAAAAGGCAGAAACATAATGATAATATTAATTAATAATATAATTTGGACTAGTTTGGCGGCCCGGATTAAAAGGCCAAACGGGCCACATCTGGCCCCCCGAGCCGTAGTTTGCCCATGCCTGTTTTAACCAATTGACTTGATTTTTACAAACAATTTTTTTTTTCCATTTTTCAATGTGGCCCGGGCACTCTGTTATAGTAACAATCGTTTACTATAATACTCAAAAATAGTAGACACTCTTCTTACCATCGTCATTGGCCCATTTGAATATCATTACTAATCATAACTGATTCAAAAAGCACAGTAGCAGTACATTTTTTGACCTTCTTGTTGACCTTCTTGTTGACAAGTTTTAAGGTGCGGGCACCTTAGGTAGTCCACGGGGGCCACCAGGTGACCCCGGGCACCACGTTGGTGACCCCTGCTGTATACTGTATGCACATTTACATTGTTTGATTATGATTATTTGACATAGACCGATGTTAAAATCTTTTTGGTTATTTTTGTGTTACTGACTGTAAGTTACTATCATGGTCTGTTTTTATTCCGCTTGTTAAAATGGCTCATTCGTCATTGGTTACCTGTAGCTTTTCGATGATATTCTTATAGTCCCAGGGGTTGCTGGGAGAAGTGGTTCTTGTGGTGCGAGACAAGGACTTGTAGTTTGGGTTGGAGCGGGACAGAGAGTTGAGCGCAGAACTCGACAACATGGAGCTGATGTGAGACTCCAGGTCCAGAGGAAGAGAGATGGAGCGACTCTTGGCTGCAGAAAGATAGGAGGAGGAGGAGGAGGAGGTGATGTCAGAGCTGAAAAGAGCTGGACGTCTGTCTGTCTGTTTCTCTCTCTCTCTCACTCTCACCTGTCATTGCCAGGGTCTTGATGCATGTCTCCACCAGAGATCTTTGCTGCTGCTGGAGCCACGGACAATCGAGGAGGCGGACGGAAGACTGGAGGAGCTGGGTCATGATGGTGTGGTGGGCTGTTGTGAACAAAAATAAACAAATAAACAAATAAGCAAAAACTGCATCTCATAATATTTAAAGATTTCAAAATTGTAAAGATACTACAATAAGAAACAACTGAAACAACTAAGATCAGTTAGAAATCTTATTTGAAATAAATGGAAAATAATGAATACAAACTAATATACAACAAGAAATACAGAAATAGAAATTGTGTAAAAATGTAAAAATTCAAAGATCCTTTTTCATGTTTCAGTGCGCATCCTACCTGCAGTGATGTACTGTTCTCGGAGAAGGGGGAACTGAAAAAGGCATTGATGGTGTCAAACACCACGTTGGTGATGTATTTCTCCAAGACTGGGTCAGAGAGACGCTTTTCACGTTTGTTACATACCTGGAGAAGAAAAACGTATGTCACAAACATATAAAACACATTAAAAAAACAAAAAAAAAAAAAACAAAAATGTGGTTGATGTCCTCACTCTGGCCATGTCCACTGTAAAGTCCTCAAACAGCTTCCAGATGTGGTTGGACGTGTAGATCTCCTTCATCTCCACCTCCGTGTCCACGTAGCAGTGGTTCACAAAGTTCACATAAGCCACTTTCACCTGGAGACAAAGGATATCACAGAGTTTAGACTGGATTTTAAAAGGAAAGATCTCTCCAGAAATTAGCCTAGCCTGTAGCAAAAGAGCCCAAAAATATCATGATCTACAGGTAAAAACTCTGCCGTAAAGTTTGACTACATGTTGTATCAGAATTAGTAAGTAATTAATTAAGTCAAATTACTGTAGTTTTACAAGAACAAGAGTGGAAACGCCTAAAATTAAGACCAAACAAACTTTTAAGTTAAATGGGAAGGTACAGAAACAGCTTCGTTACAAATATATTTTTAACGTTTCTCTGAACGTTTAGATGAGGGGTGTCAAACATATGGCCCGTGAGCCAAATCCGGCCCACTAGGGCGTTCAATGCGGCCCATTTGATAAACATTAAAAGTGAAAAAAATGCCCAAACACTTCATGTTCATGATATGTTTTGTTAAATGATATTTCATTAAATATGAAGATATATGTCAAATATACCTGTATCTTTTGCAGGAAAAAAATGGGGGAAAAACAGGAATTATTGTTATTTATAGGTAATTATGTTATGATTGTACCGGTCCGGCCCACTTGACATCTAATTAGGCTGTGGCCCCTGAACCAAATTGAGTTTGACGCCCCTGGTTGAGACCCTGCCTCGAAGTTACGAGTTACTATAGAGTAATTTTCCTTAAACACACATTTTTTTGGGACAGACATTTTTTCATGTTTGTTTTTTTTGTTTTGAGAAAAAGAAAAAAAATCAAAAAACACCAACCTCAGTGATACAGTCTTCGTGTGTCACCACTCTGACCACATCCTCCAGCGGCAGCAGAGATGTGCACTTTATCTCCGTGTACACGTTTTTTCCTTCAGCACAGGCGGCCAACAGCTCCACCAGAGAGATGTGGTACCTGCAGCCATGTTGATGACACCATGATAATCATCATAGTGACGGAACCGTACATCGGTGTCAATATGTGATAACTGATCCTGTCAACAAATCGACTCATCACTCAGTACCTGAGTGGGCTGTTCTCGGCCACTCCCTCTCTGCTCTCCGCCATCAGCTCCAACATGACATTGAACGAAGCTTTGTCGTTGTAGAAAACCACCACGTCCTCCCCGGCGTTGGTCAACTGAGATACAAAAAAAAAAAAAAAAAACGAGTAAAGAGAGAACATTAGTAGAGAATGACATAAAGCACGGTAGGTGTCGTAAAGTCACAGAGGACGTCCTCACCTCAGTCATGATCATGTCCTGGCACTTCTTCACGTACTTGCCCTCGGCCTTAATAATGGTGTGCAGGAAGTTGAGGTACTGAACGTGGCGTCCGTGCGTGGCCAGGCAGTGGATGAAGTGCTGCAGGACACTCTCTGAGATTTCACTGCACAGCTGGTAGTTGTTGCTGAAAATGTGCTGCACAGTCTCAGCTTCCATCATCTGTGAAGAGGCGTTTTTACAGAGGTAACGAAGTGATGGATGAATTTCTGAATTACCAATTTGTTAACACCAAAGTCCATAGAGAAAGTTGAGTGATTTTTACAGCTCAGGGACAAAGTGACTCTTGACCCGTCGCAGTCTTTGTTCTTTTGCATTTGACTGACTAATTCGCTTTAGCTAAGTTAGCTAATTAGCTTTAGCTAAGTTGTTCTATGGCATAAGTGTGGAACAACTCTTACGATTGTTTAACTTTATACGATAAGTTAAGGAGGGAGCTAACAGCTCAGCCCTTTTTTATATATTTATTATTTTATATTTTATTATTAATATTTATTTTATTTTAGTAATACGTATATCAATACGGTTTGTGTTATATTTTATTATTAATATTTATTTTACTTTAGTAATACGTATATAAATAGTAACTGTAACTATTAAACGACTATAACTGTACATCTTTATATAATTTATTCATATTTACTACTATTTATTATGAATTATTATTTACGTATTTTTGTATTCTGTACGTTCACTGTAGCTTGAGTGACGATTGACCGACTCAAATTCGTAAGTCACTTTGGATGAGAGCGTGATGTAAAGTAATGTTAGAGATCGCACCCCTGGGGTAAGGAACAGGCTAAGGTTCTTGTGCAGCAGAGCCTGGTTCTCCTGGTTTCCCATGCAGAACCGCTGCAGGAAGAGGTGAGTGAACCTGATGATCTCCAGCATCTTTGTGTCATTCTGTGGACACACAAAAACACATTTTGGCAGTTCTCAGCCATGAGTTTGTTTTTTCCATCATCAAAGCCTGAAGTCCCCGTCAGACTTACCTTATCATAGGACACCTGCAGAAGGTCCAACATGACCTTGTGGGCTCCCATGTTCTTCAGCAGCCTCTGCTGCTTCTTCCACACTCCGGTGCTGCACATTTTATTCAGTCTTTCCAGTATCTAAAGAGGGGACAGAGGAAGGAGCCAAGAGAAGAAAACACAGAGGAAGAGTGTATACTGTATTAGTACTAATATGTACTTTATCTCGAAATGTATGTTTTTTTTGGTTTTCACGTATTTCATTTCCTTACCCATTTTAGAAGTTATGTTGGAACGCTGAATGTTTTGTTTGTGATGAATATGTTTATTGCTGTAATTGCATGATCATTTGTAACATATGTGTCAACGTTAGATTGTGTTAGTTTTCTATCTATGTACAACAAAAATCTGGACTCGTTCTGTACACATTTTGTTTCACGACACTCTCAAAAGACGAGACATCATTGAGAAATGCGCCAGCTCACCTACAGGATACATTAGAATTTGATCGCTCGTTTGTTTTCCCGTTGATGACGCTGTTTTTGAGGAACAGACAACCCATGAAACAGAATTGTGTGCAATGAAAGCCACCGTGGTAGAAGAGCACCAAAACTTCAGAGCCTTATGAACAGAAACCAAAGGATGGAGACGGACACACTCCAAACAAGGACAGACACCGAACACATACACTGGACACCATGCTCTCACCTCTTTGACTTTCTGGTAGTTTTCATTGCCTTTCTCCGCTTTCTCCTTCTTAGGTGTTGTTTCCTCTGATGCCCCCTGCAGGATGTAGAGGGTAAGACAGTGTATGCACTCCTATTTGTGCAACACACTATACACACTTCACTTAGAAATCAGACTATTAAATAGTCAACTGTGTCTAGAACAAAAATCAGAGAAATAGGAAAATGTGCAAAAAAAATGTACAAAATAAGCAACAACAACAACACCAGAGCCTCACACCAGCCGAACGAAAACTCCCACAAACACAACAAAGTTGACTACTGCACATACAGTAGATTTTTTTGGAAAAGATTCACTTTTTTAACGGTAGCAGTTTTTCAGACCTGTGACAGTCTCCCCAAAAAACATCATCGACACTTTCGACTTCGATCTCATGAAATTATGACTGGAATTTTAACTTCATTCTCGTAACCTAATTGTAGCTATTTTCTCAACGAGGTCCTAATACTCCCTTGTACAACACAAACAAATCCTTCGCAATCCTGACTGGTACAAAACAACCACGACAACCCAAATAAAACAATGTCCACGTTAAGACATTTCCCTGTTTGAGAATTGATCTCTCATTTGGAATATTGTCATGAAAAAGTAGGAGAAGAAAACAACATGCAACAAAAGTCCCAAAATAGGTCTCAACCCAAGATGATGTTGTTGCACCATTAGCCCGCAAGCCCCAGACCAGCACCTGGTTGATTATAGAACCAAGATGGAAAAGAAAACAGCTTTGTGTTTTAGTATTTGTTTAGTAATTTTAGTCAACAAACTGTTAAAAGCTGGTTAGGAGTAACTATCGATCTTCTAAATATTGTTCTGGCTAAACTGGAGGACTTTTGTGTTGTTCTGTTATCAACTATAGTTATGGTTAGTTGTTTGTTAATCAAAATTAGTTCAAAGAACAAACCATGAAGATTGTGTCTTATACAAAGACATGCTTAAATACACCCATACGCTGATGATACTGCAATTTCAGAATTTTTCCATTGACCAGGTCAAAGAATACATTTTGCACATTGTAACAAAAAGAGGAGGTAAAAAAAAGTGTGAAAATAATGAAATCATAATAATAACAATGTTAAAAGACAATCCTAATATTATCCAGATACTGAGGAATGTCTAATAAATAAAAACCCTATCCGTTTTTCAACAAAATCTTTTTATGAGAATGTCTAATAAATAAAAACCCTATCCGGGAAAGGTTTTTCAACAAAATCTTTTTATGACGTAAGTACATTTTCTGCATTTTGCTAATATTTATGAGAAAGAAAACACTTTATTATCAAAGGTGAGTTATTTTTACCGTATTACTGTATTAACTGTGTAAACACTACCTCTCCAATATCCTTCTTATCTTTCTTGTCCTTCTTCCCATCTCCTCCTCCAGAGTTCTTTTTCTCCACCCACAGCTCAGATTTCTCCACCAGTGTCCGCAGACGATCCAGATCTGCTTTGATCAGCTTGTAGTTCTCCACATCTTGAGATGAGATCAGTAACTGGACCTAGACAGAGAAACAAAAAAATAATAATATTAATAGAAAAAAAAAAAAAATATATATAAAACACTAAAGGCCTGAAGGTAAATAATAGAAAAAAAAAAAAATATATATAAAACACTAAAGGCCTGAAGGTAAAAACACTGACATGGAATGATGTTCTGGTTACTGGTTATTACCTATAAAAATATATAAAAAAAATATATATAAAAAAATATATAAAATATATATATCAAATATAATCATATATAATAAAAATTTAAATAATATCGTTTTTGTGCAGCTTGGAACCAAAATCCAATATAGACTTCTTTTTATAGAAAACTTTTGTCCAATGAACACACAAAAAAAAAATTCAAGTTCTTTTGTGCAATAAGAACAACTGCACAAAAGCAAGTGTTTCCTTTTTTTAAAAAAACAAACAAAACAGTCATGATTTAAATCCCCAGCAGGAGCAGTGTGTTGTGGTTGAGCGTGCAGTACGGCGCAGTGTGTGCACCTGTTTAAAGGTCTGCAGCACTTCCTGTCTCTGGCTGAAGTGTCTGAAGAGAAGCTGCAGAGCTCCAGACACCAGAGGTGGGTAGTCATGCATAGTGAGGTGAACCAGCACTCGCATGAACATACGACCACCTTCATCATCCACCTCCAGGATGCTGTTACCTTTACTGTACACACACAAACACACGTGTATTGACTTCAGTGCATTTGGCTTAGAATTAACCAACAGATATAAAACATTTTCTTAAAAGTCAAATGTTAAATCTTAAAAATTTAAGAAAAATAAGTTGACCAAAATACAGTAATAGTAAATTATGGTACAGTACAGCGAAAGTATAAGAATTTTAAATACATTTTTAAAGTTAAACAGAATTAATGTCTGCCATAAAGTTAGCAAAAAGTTTTAATTAAAATGTTAAGGAGCTCATTCTAAAATCCCGTACCCGACTCCAAACATGGCCTCGGCCTGTTCACCGATACGCTGCAGGTTAATGGTGGCTGAGGGGGGACAACACAGTTAACATCAACAACAACGATAAAGGTAAAGACGATTTAAAAAAAAAAAAAAAAAAAAAAAGAGTTTCAAAGACAGACTTGCAGAGCACCAACACATCATAAACATTTATAGGCAGGTCAAATGAAGGCTCATTAGAGAGTCTCTATCTGTGTCCTGTGCTCATGCTCATGCTCATGGGGAAAGACTTAAATGGAAAGCGGCTTGATTTGAAAAAAACAAAAAACCTCAAGAGTAAAAAAAAGTGAAATATTTATAATATTAATTTATATTAATGACTGACGTTAATGATTGTCTTTGATACACAAAACAATAAAAAAGGTGAGGTGAGTCATTCCTGTTAAAATCACAGGAATAAAAAAAAAAAGGTGAGGTGAGTCATTCCTGTTACAATCAAAAATAACTAAATTAAAGTCATACAATAAATGTGGTGAAAAATAATTACCAAATATAAATCTACTGAAAGGAGGGGAACATATTATATACAGTGTGTAAAATTTAAAAGAATGCATTAATAATTTGGTGCCTAATTCCTAAAAAAAGCAATAATTATTGTAGAATTGTTATTTTAAAAATATTAAGTAATGGACAAAATCCACAACAGATGAATTGTATTACATTCCGGATCTGAAAAAAAGAGCAGTAAGAAGAGAGGTATTTTTGATATGACGTAAACTAGAGTTTGTTTGTGTTTGTACCGGTGAAAATAACGTATAATAACAGCACAAAAAGCCACACTAAACAAGGTTCAACATGATGCAGACACTGCAGAGAAGACACAGCAGGACAGCGAAAACCGAAGTAATAAATAAACATCCACATTAGCAAGGTGACCAATCCCCAACATTCATCACACACTTGGGAGCTTTCTACCTCTACCTGTCGTCTCTGTCTTCACTGCGACGTCTGACAACACTGTCTGGACTGAGAAAAGTCCAGTGTACAACAACAACAACAACAACAAGAACAACAATTAAAAAAAAAAAGTTTAGAGCTGCTGGATTGGAAAAACAAGAGTAAGTCAAGAGAGTTAAAACGAGTGGAAAGAAGAATCGTTAAGTAGCGTCCGTTAGAAGCTTTTATAGGAGAACCTTGAATTCCATTCGGGTAAAATGTGTTGAGTGAATATTAAAAAAATAAATATATATTGTTATTATTATAATAATTTCACTATATTATATTATTATTAATATATCATTATTATGTATATATACGAATATGTTATTAATATCAATATTAAAATTATTATTATATATTAATATATTATATTAACTACGGCATGCCGTTCAGGAAATTAATCTTTGAATATATATATACAAAAAGTCTGAATATATATATACAACAAGTCTGAATATATATATTGTATATATATTCAGACTTTTTGTATATATATTCAGACTTTTTGTATATATATTCAGACTTTTTGTATATATATTCAAAGATTTATATATATATATATATATATATAAAATATTAATATACTGCTTATCTCCTGCTGGATATCTTCAATGTCCCTTTAATATTACTCTTATGTTGCCGTCTTCTTTTAATGCATACCATATGTTCTTCTAATACTCCTTCATGTTCATGTAATGTTCCTTTGTTGTTCCTTAAATGCCCCCATGTTTATGTATTATATAATCTAATATCCCTCTGATTTTTCTATGATGTTCCCTAAACGCTCCCTTAGTTTTGAGTACATCTGAAGTTCAACGTTCATTCAATGGTCCTTGAGTTTTCCTCTGTGATTCTTTAGTGTTCTTGCCGTTTCCTTCATATTCCTCTAACATTTATCTGAAGCTCTTCCATGTTCCTCTAATGTCTCTCTATTGCTCCCTTTATCTGCTACTAATATTGTTCCTGGACTATTCCTCTAATGTTGTCCATTAAAACCTTCCTCTTTCATATATGTCCCGTTAACGTTCCAGCAAGTGTTGTTCTGCAAATGTCCCCTTAATATTTCTTAAATGTCCCTTTCATGTTCCTCTGGCTAACTTCGGACGCTCCTGTTATACTCAGTACCTGCATGCTCCATGTTGGTGGTGGCGTCTGCATCCTCCATCGGATATACATCCACAAACTCTTTTTTAAAGACAGACAGAAGGAAGGAGAGACGATAGTCCAGACGAACATTCAGGATGAACTGGTAAAATGTTTGAAAAGTAAGACAAGGGTTATTTGTGATAAGTTAATGTATTTAGGGTTTTTTTTTTTTCTTCTTCTTTCAAACCACTGAAGTTCAACGCATGCACAGAGCTTTTATCTCATATCGTAGACAGGAAGTGTATGTCTCACCTGTAGTATCTCCAGTATTTTCAGTTTGGTGTCCATCACGGTCAAGTTCATCTTGTCGATACTGTCCTTCCCACCTCTCTGCCCATCGAGCACTGACCCTCTGGCACCTGGGCCTCCAAACAAGGACTGCTTCCTGTTAAGAACCATGGTGGACATCATCTGACCCATCCCGTGTATGGACCTCTTCACGTTCTTTCCTGCAGAGAATGAGTCGACGCCAACGATCAGAGTGACCGATAGGATTACAATTTTTATATTTTTTGAACGGCGGCTGGAGCAGTGCGTACCTGTTCCATCATCGTGGAACAACAGCCCCGCGTGGGTAGGGTTGGGTCGACAGTCAATGATCCCCAGCAGGGTTCTGGTGAGTCTGAGCAGCTCAAAGAAGCTGTAGAAACCAAAGTAGATGAGATGTCGGGCCAAGCTCACCACCTGCGGAGATAGAGAGGAAAAAAAAAAAACCCAAAGGTGTCTTCAGCAGAGAACCTAAAGGAGGTGGAGACACACGAGGGAAGTGAAACGAGGACAGACCTCATACGTGAGCTTGTTCTTCTCCTCGTTGTGAAAAGGCAGCTCCTCGTTAAGGACGTTGTTCAGATACTCCTCCATGAAAGCCATCGTGTTAGAAAAACGGTTCTTCTTGTTGTCTCTGCTGTCATCCATGTTGGAATCGTAACTAAAAATGTAAAGACAAACACATTGGAAATGGAATGCTGTACTATCTCCGTTAGCGTCAGGTGACGAGCTCCATGAGCCAAAGAAGATCATGAGGTCATAAAACTGGAAAAAAAAAAAAAAAAAAACATTTAATGGACCATGAAACCAACTACTTAGTTTGTACAGGCAAAAAAATTGATCATTTCTCCAGCGAGCAACTTTTTAAATTTTAAATTTTTGTTCTCATCATTGACTGTACATAAGAAATGGGCAAAGCCATGTGTGGCCCTCATGACCCAGCTCCATGAGCCAAAGAAGATCATGAGGTCATAAAACTGAAAAAAAAAAAAAAAGAGAGGGAAATTTACTGCAACCACTAGAGGGCTTGAAGGTCCTACATCCACATTTTTTAACCATTTAATGGACCATTGTGGATGGGGCCTGGAGTGAGGCGGTTTAAGACATGCCTGACATGCAGAAGTTTCTAGGTTCAATTTGACCAAAATTCCAAAAATCCAAGGTCAATGCAGCGACTCTTGATGAAGATATATGGTAAAAGTAATTCTCCAGACTCATCGCACTTGAGAAATTTTAACTTTCATCCTCAGATGTCTGACAGGTTACTAATGCAAAGCTAAGACTGGACATTTTTATGACCAGGAATTAAAATCCCTGAGGAAAAAAATTCTGGATTTTACTTTTTATCCCCTCATGTCTTCAAACCTGGTCCTGATTGTGGCAGTAATGGAGTCTAAAAAAAAATCCTGATTCACATTCAAAAGATTACTAACTCTTTGATGGTGATTGAAGTTGGGATCTCAGTCCATAGACGGGCAAACTTGACGGGCGTCACCAGCTCCTGAGGATCTCTGTCCACATGGGTGTGCAGCATCAGGCGACAGAAGGAGGCCCGCAGGTCAAAGGGCAGTGTTTCGTCCATCATGCAGAGGAAGATAAGCTCCACATCCAGCTGTTTGGAGATCTCATCGATGGCAAGGTACTGACGGTCCAGACACATGCGGGCGAAGAGCTTCAGCTGGTACCTGAGAAGATCCACGCAGGGTTCATGTTAATGGTACTTTCTAATGTAGGGAGGGATTTTTTTTAAATTCTTCTGAGCCTGGTCTGTACCTGTAGTAGGTGAGGACGTTCTCGTCGTGGGCGTTTCCCTGTCTGGCCTCCTGAGCCAACTGTCTAATGCTCTTCTCCTGATGCTCATTGGTCTTGTCCGTCCAAACGAGCCAAACCTAAACACACACACACAGACGTGGACACACAGTAACTAAAAAGGTCCTTTTGCGAACGTCTTCACAGCCACAATGACATGGGCAATAAACAAAAGAACCTCATCTTCATCGCCATAATCATCCATCCCCATGTACTCGCCGTCTCCCCCGCCTGCGTGAGGCTCCTTTGGATCGCGACGCCTGCAGGCGGAGGACGATAAAGATGTTCAAAGTTAAGGTCACGAAATCAGAACCTGAATCACCGGCAACATTTACAAGATACATTTCGTTTCATTTTTGTTTTTCTTCCGAACTCACTCAGTTTTGATGAGAATGTCCTGGTTTTTAGGATCCAGCACACACTTACAGATGAGCTCCTGGGTCACAGGAATGGCCACATTGTTGGAGACACAGAGGTCTGACAGATAGTCGAGAAACCTAAACAGGCAGAGACAGAGACAAAGAGAGGGACATTGCACCCAGACGTGTGTAAGACCAATAAAAAGTGACCTAAGCCTACTCTCTTTTCCTTCGACCTACCTGGGCTCTCGGTTCTTTCGGACCAGACTGACAAAGGTCTCCACCTCCGTCTTGGTGATGTGCTTCTCCAGCAGTTTGCGATTGTTGTGAAGCAGAGCGGTGATGGTGTCTTCAGCCAGGATGTCGTAACCGATCTGACTCTGCATCACACCAAACTGTTTGGCTATGTGTTCCTGCAGACGACGGCGGAAAAATTATTGATTTTAAATGTCAGCTTTTTTTCCCGTAAACTGAATATTTATGTTTAATATTTCAAATAAAACAAAGGGAAAAAAAAATAAGACGTTACTTGGTTTTTACGGTAGTCCTCCTGGGAGTGTCGCAGAACCCTGTAACACAATCTGAACATGTACTGGTAGGGAGCATTCTTCTGATCAGCCAGTTCTTCCAGACACAGCAGTGGACCTTCTCCTCCACCCCTGTCTTTAAAGGGAGCCTTGATGATCCCAAAGATCTGGACAAACACACACATCACCATTAGGTTAGTCTGTTCTCTCTGACAGACCGAGCCTCTTTCTCTCATCTCTACCTGTTTGAGGATGTTCTGCTCCCTCATCAGCTTTTGTCTCTCCCTGTTGGGTTTGGTCATGACCACGTCCAAAACGGGTTGACCACTATTGACTACGTCAGCCACGAAGAAGACCACGTCCTCCAGAAGCTTGATGGCAAATCTGGGAGAAAACACCAAAGTCATGAATGGAATTAGGATGAATTCGCTTATCCTCAATTTCCAAGGGAACTCCGAGGGATTATTAAAGTTCAACCTGTCTGTCTGTCTGTCTGCACCCCATCTTCACTAGTTTACAATTAAATCTGTCCAGAATATCAGTATTTTTTAATGTGTTTTAATGACACATATTGTAACAGATAGATGGATGGATGGATGATAGATGGATGGATGGATGGATGGATAGATGATAGATGGATGGATAGATGATAGATGGATAGATGGATGGATGGATGGATGATGGATGGATAGATGGATAAATGGATGATGGATGGATAGATGGATAAATGGATGATGGATGGATAGATGGATGGATGGATGGATGATGGATGGATAGATGATGGATGGATGGGTGGGTGGATGGATGGATGGGTGGATGGATGGATAGATGGATGGATGGATGGATGGATGGATGGGTGGATGGATGGATAGATGGATGGATGGATAGATGGATGGATGGATAGATGGATGGATGGATGGATGATGGATGGATAGATGATGGATGGATGGGTGGGTGGATGGATGGATGGATGGATAGATGATAGATGGATGGATAGATGATAGATGGATGGATAGATGATAGATGGATGGATAGATGATAGATGGATAGATGGATGGATGGATGGATGGATGGATGGGTGGATGGATGGATAGATGGATGGATGGATGGATGATGGATGGATAGATGATGGATGGATGGGTGGGTGGATGGATGGATGGGTGGATGGATGGATGGATGGATAGATGATAGATGGATAGATGGATGGAGGGATGGATGGATAGAATGGCATATTAGTATACAAGTGGATAGTAGATGACCGGGTCAGTAGTAGGTTAGTTGTTAGTTAGTTATGTATACTAAAGTATTCCACTTTATGTATTTGGTATATATATATATAGCAAAATAAGTATAATTAATTATAAACATTCATTAAACAAATGCCACTTTTCAGGTTGATGGACTTCAAACACAAACCAGACCGATGCACACACACACAAACACACACACGAGCTGTCTTACTTGCGGTCATTCTGGCTGATAAAGCCCTGGCCGAATTGGTCAACCACAGTGCTCAACATAGCGCTGGCGTCATTGGCGAAGTCCAGATCCCTGATCTCCATCACGGGGACAGAGACGATGGCGAAGGCTTCCTTGTCCTCTTTAGTGGGACACGTTCCTAACTGCAGGAGGACAGGAGACAAGAGAGAAGTGGATTTCACTTCCAGACACATCTGGAACTCTTGGAGCTCTATTTCAGAGACTCACCATGAGCCTGATGGGTCTCTCCTCATCAATGTCGATGGGAACATTGGTGCTTTGGATCCAGGTGTTGGTGCAGAGGTGTCGCAGACGTACGTAGGAGTTTCTGGAAGACAGTGGCTCGGTTATTGTGCACATTCATGCTCGACGACCGATAACGTCGGAGACGACTTTGCCGTCAGGTAAACCTGTACCGAGGTACGAAGGAGTCAGTCTTCTGCAGCGTGGTCGGGTCCAGCTCAAACAACGAGGCAATGTCGTTACCGTGAGGAACCGCCACCAGTTTGTACTTGATCCTCTCTCCGTGAGAACGCTTGCTAATGCGGCTGCCTTCCATCTAAGAAACCAAAGGTTTGGGTGAACAGAAGGTTCAGAGGAAGGATATCGTTATTTAACCGGTAACAACCGATTTAAAAATGATGACTGGGAAAGATGAAGTAACTTACTGACGATGAGATCTCCGGGTTATCACCTTTGTAACCTGGATTCTCCTGAAACAGATGAGATCGTGTTGGTCGTTACATCCATCCATCCATCCATCCATCCATCCATCTAATACTAATCACCTGTTCTTTTCCATCCATCCAACCATCCATCTATCTAATACTAATCACCCGTTCTCCTTTTCTACCACGGTACCATTTACCTAAATTATGATTGATTATACGACTAAATATTAACACGCAATTTAACATTAGGCAGCGGAATTGGCAAATTGGAAAATGAAAAATTGGAAAAATAGAATTTTTCAGGCGGCATCCAGCGATCAGCGACGTGTTTATCCCTACATCACCTCCCTCAAGTTGAGCAGATACGTTTGCAAACCATGGAGGAAAAGCTTATTGTCGCCTTTTTTATCAGAATAAAAAAATAAAGGGCATGACGTGGAGGAAAAGCTTATTGTCGCCTTTTTAAACAGAATAAAAAAAAGATAAGGCATGACCAACGTTAGCCAGTAGGAGGCAGTCTCTGGTCAATTGTGAGACTTTCTGTAGCTTGTTTTATTATATTACGCAACTGACTGCGTTTCGCTACATTCAATGAAGCGGTGATCCAAAAATGATCAAGGCGGTGTCATGCAGGCGTTTCAAGCTCTATCACGTTTGGTGTGAACGCAGCACGAGTCGTGAACGATGTCTAAAATTTCACAAGTCAGGCAGATGCAGGAAAACCGAAGAGCTTCAAGTGACGCTCGTCGATAAGTTCGTTAAGACAGCATGACCGAAAGCATGTAAATACTGAACTCTTTTTGCATTCTCTCACTATGCAGACAGAAGCAAATATCTTTAGGACAACTCGTCCAAGGACAAGAGTTTCCAGAACATTCGGCCATTTCTTATTTTTCATGTGTTTTGCGTTGAAAACTTCTCATTTAGTTTTACAGGATTTATGGACTCTTAGGAACCCAGACCCATTTATCCCTTTGTGCATTCTTGGAATAAACTTCCAACTATCCACTCTATCTATCCGTCATCTTTTACCTCAGCAGCAAGGTAGTTTCCTGTTGCCAGGTGTTTGAATCTGTACAGGCTGTTCCAATGTCCTGCGCCGCCTCGACAAGGGTCATGATGGACAACCTGACGGACCAATGGAGAGACAGGCACGCGTTTGTATCGTCTAAGAAGAAAGTTACTGCATTTACACTGGGGAGGCTGTTTTAAAACGATCTTACCTCTATCTCCCACAAAGCGTTGGAGCTGGTTGCCGATGTGGCCGACTGTCTCAGGGTGGTCCTCAAGAAGACATGGAGTTTACTTTTATACTCGTCACACGTCAGGAACTTTTCCTGCTCGGCGTGAAAGAGGCGAACCACGTCCCCCTGAGATAATTAAATCAAATAAATATTTATAATGTTTGTTTTTTTTTTTTTATCTTCTACTATCTCTCAGGGACAAATGCGTGAGTGTGTTTCTGTGGACTGACTCCTTTGAGGACTTCTTCTCTGTGGTCACTGAACATCATGAACAGGTTGATTTTCCAGCTCGTGTTGCAGTTCACCGAGTTCACCTAAAGAGGGAGACATGCACATACATGTTGTTGGAAAAAACTTACCTGTGGACATGCAGAAATTAATAGGCTGAATATTATACATGCATTTTCTACTAAAGCCTAAACGAGTTCACCTAAAGAGGGAGACATGCACACACATGTTGGAAAAAATTATACATGAATTTTCTACTAAAACCTAAACTATCGAAACTTTTAACAAGCATCATGGCTGTTTTAAAGAGGAATTATAATCATGGACTCATTTGCTACATAAACCGATCACCTATCATTAGACTAATCAACACAGTTAAGTTGAATGACATTGCAATAACTGTAATTAATGTTAATCAATCAGAATCACTCAAACTGTAAATAAGTGGTCAATCACTTCAATAATGAAGTAATAATTATATATATTTCAAAATTACAGTAATTACTCTGAAAAGGTCAAGTGACATGGAATTAATGAATTATGCGAGTGTATCTGTGGGTAGGTGTGTGTGTGTGTATAAACCTCTTTACAGCCTGGGTGGTCACTCAATTCGTAGTTTGAAGCATGCAGAGGTTGACCCGCATTCACTGGATTAAGGATCACCTTGTCGCCGACCACCACCTAAAAAACGACAAATTTTTAGTTTTATATATATTTTAAAAAAAAAATACCTTTAGATGTCTAAGAAAAACAAAGCGTTTCCCTCCATTGTCCCCATTGGCGCGGAGCTTCCAGAAAGGTTGGATAAAGAGCCAGGAGCCTTCATTTCCGGTGGCGTCCAGGGTCACCCTCATGGCGTTTTTCTCAAGCAGAGCAGGTAGGCGTTTATTCACCGTCAGGTATTTGTTGCTCTTCATGTGCAAAAGCTGGCAACAGAGGCAAAGAATCACAGGTCAGTAATGTTTTTTTTTTAAACTAATTTTCACATTTGGATCTAATTTTAGGCTATATATTTTTGTGCTATATTCCTATTGAAGATGTGCCATATTGAAGACGTCTCGGCGAAACGTCTTCAATTTACTTGAGGTGAGTCCAGTTGCCTACTTTTAAAACTGCTTTTGATATTAAAATGATGACTTAGATGACTGAGAACATCCACAAGTATATATTCACTTTTATTTTGGCTAAATTTGATCTTTTTTCCTGGGTAACTCTTGTCTTTTCTAAGCTAATTTTAAGCTAATGTACATATTTAGTCTTTGCTTTCGTGCTCTTTTTTTTTGGCAATTTCTACACTGTTTTCAATTTAATTTAGACATTTATATGCATTTGGTCAAAGTGTAAACTCATTTTTTTTCCTAACGTTACTTTTTTTAAATTTTATTTTTATGTGAGTTTTTCCTGTCTTTATGGGCGTTCAGTCCACTTTTAGACTTATTTTACCTTCATACAGGCAATATTTTCTTTTAAGCAAACCCATCCATCCATCCATCCATTTTCATCCGCTTATCCGTTACCGGGTCACAGGGGCAGCAGTCTCCATGACCACCACCCAAATCACACTGCACCGAAGGTACCAACCGTCCTGACCGGGATTCGATCTTGCCCAGGAGGTGAACCCTCGGGTTCCACACCAATGACAGAGACATTGACTCTGGGGCCAAAGCTCCACTAAGCAAACCCTTATAACTCATTCATTTTGATCCTTATCTGCATGTTTTGAAAAGGTGGAAGGTAATCAGACCATCTGGAGCACCCCCATGCACACAGAGAACAGGCAAACACCGTTGAGAAACGACTGTGCCTTCAGTTACCACTTAGGATTGAATCAGTGATCTTCTTGCCGTAAGGAAAGATCACTAACCGCCCGCCAACAGTGGTACCCTCCCTTATTTTGATTCTTGTCAAGTTCACATTTTATCATAATCTGCAATCTTGGTTCACAATCTGAAGCAGACAAACAGGCAGACACGTTCGAAATCACAAGTAAATGGAAATACAGTACGTGCTTCGTTGTTTGTGAAAATCGAGTACGGATTCATTTAACAGGAATCAAGCTTTTTCATTTCATTTCTCCCACGGAATCATGTAGATCTCCTGTGTGTTAATTACTGTCAAGTTTAATCCAATAAAAACACTGGAAGACAAAATGGATGAATTATTTACAATGCTACGACAGAGTATTAAGTCCACACTGAGAGTAAAAAATAAATAAATGTTTAAGATTAAGGTCGTACATTGAAAAAAAAGTCATAACATTTTGAAAAAAGTCTACGTTCTGCAGGAAAATAAAAGACTGTTAACTCTCATCAGTGTCAGCGTCTTCGTTTGGGCTTCGTAACAGAAGCCTGAGAAGATGATCAGAGCGTTTAGGAGGCATCGTAGGGCGTTAAATTAGAGTCAACTTTCACCTAACACAAAAGGAGAACCCCGATATAGAGAGGGAACACTGTAAAAAATTAAAAAAAGTAAAAAGTCGTAACATAATGTTTAAGATTAAGGTCGTACATTGAGGGGAAAAAAAATATGTCATAATGTTTTTAAAAAAGTCACAAATATACACTGATCCCTCTCCTATCGCAGTAGCTACGTTCCGGAGGAAAATAAAAGACATCTGTCATCAGTGTCAGCGTCTTCGTTTGGGCTTCGTAACAGAAGCCTGAGAAGGTGATCAGAGCGTTTAGGAGGCATCGTAGGGCGTTAAATTAGGGTCAACTTTCACCTAACACAAAAGGAGAACCCCGATATAGAGAGGGAACTCTGTAAAAGAATAAAGTCGTAACGACACAATAACGTTACAATACCCAAGGCCAAATGCTCATCTTCATCAAGTTTGCCTGACCTTTGCCTGGATTGATATCGCTATCAGTTGATCGGTATTGGACATGAAAAAGTTGTATGGAGCCATGCGTAAATTATGCTAATATTTACTTTATTCTCATATATTTAGAAGGTTTTTCTCATAAAACGACACCTTTTTCCTTGTAAAAATGACAACCGTTTCCTCATAACGTTAAAGAGTGACAAGAGCTTAAACAAGTAAGAGTTATAGTTTCTGCAAATACACACAGACACACAAATCCCCACCACTCCCCCGAACGCACACATGCAGAGGAAAAACTTAACAATCTGACTCAGCAGGAACCACACCCTAGCAGGAACCACACCCTGACTTGTCAATGCTGAAATGTGTTTGTGTGTAAAGGCGTGTCCAGTCATGTCAGTGTACCCTGTCATGGAATGTTAACATGTTCAAACCTACTGAATATGTACACGTTGGTGTCCTGGTTATTGTAGTCCTTTGCTTTTCTAGTTTTCTAGTTTTAAGATAATACACCTGCTGCACGAAACCAACCTGAGATGGTATGCTGTATGTAGCTCTGCAAAAATAAAATAAAAAAAAAAACAGAGCTGCCAACTACAAGAATACTTTAACTAAGGAATAAAAGCCATGCTAAACTGTTTGTGACTTTCACCTCACCGTGGGAAGGATATTTCCTGCAGGAAACGGAAGTTTCACCCACAAGGTGAGAGTTGAACTCGCTGGTGTAAAGATTATCCGAGAGCTAAGGTTAAGAAGGTGACTGCAAAAACATTACCATTACCTGGATGACAGTTCCATATTTGACAACGTCCCCATGGACCTTCTTGTTTTCGGTCTCGTTCTGTTTCTGCTCCAGGTTCGACGCATGCTACAAGACGGATGAAAGGAAAAACGTAAAGATGTGTTCAGTGAAGACTTTTCAACATTGCGCCGACAGTGGGAGCATGAAAACATAGTGTGGTAAATGGGGATGTCCAATAATATCGATATCATAAGGCCGATGTTAGCATAATTATGTAACGTCCGTAAGAACCGTTATTGGTTTTTCCCGCCGATAATGAAAACACGATAACGCCATGTTAATGCTTTCGCCAAATGACGTGTGCTCTAAAAATAGTTTTGGGGAAAAAAACGGTTGTATATGAAAATACAGTCACTAGATGGCAGCATTGCAGTTCATTTTATTAATCTATTTTTAATAATCAGGGGATTGTAAGCAGAATGTTGATGCCAGCAACTCATACAGTGGTTTGTACAGATAAACAACTAAATTTTGCCAGGCCCTCAATAGTATTTCAATTCGAGAGAGGGTTGGGGGGGGGCTGAGGAGGGGAATCGCAAAAAATGATTGAGAAACATTTATACAGGCCATCACTTTAGTGAGCAGGCAGCACTTAACTTCTTTAACCACCAGGACACCACTGGCCCGTTACATCGGTATCGGTTGATATCGGAATCAGAAATGGAGTGTTTTACAATATCGGCTTATCAGTTATCGGCTATGAATTAATATCGGACATCCCTAGTGGTAATGAGTGAATTCGAAACACGTTTTAGCTACTTCAAATGAATGCTAATATGAGCGATGCACTCGTATTCGCTCATTAACCAGGGCTAATTTAGCTTTAGAAGAGAGGCTTATAGTCGTGTCACTACGGATCGTGTTCAATTCTTGAAATTGATGTTAACAGCAGCTTCCTATTTAGCCAATCAGGACTAACACACACATTAGTCAGGTTTTCGTCATTTTTGACATTTACATTCGTCAGCTCTTCTAACATGTGTGAACGTGTGTTTGTGCTTACTAACGCGTGTGTTACCTGCAGTTTTTGTAAAAGCACCGCGTCACCGATCTTGTCCTTCTCATGTTTGGCCTGTTTTGCCTTCCAGAACTGTTTCTGAGCTGAATATCGGTTCATGGGACATACTTTGAAAAGGCAATCTAAACAAAGTCAAGCAAAAAAAAAAAAAAGAAGAGACATAGTCGATATGTTAAAGATTTAGATCAAAGGGAAAACTCTTTCATTTAATTTTACATAATAACCCAGTAAAAAACATCGGCCTTCATCGGAAATATGATTTCGATCACATAACAGTACAAACACAGAGTTTACAAACCATTGCACTGAGAAAAGGAAGTCACAGCTGCTGCAAACTGTAAAAAAAAAAAAATTCCCTTTGCTATTATTAGTTCCAGGCTGGTGATCAGTCAGTGGAACTAATTGGTTATTTGTGTTTGAGGACATCAGACTGGTGAAGCATCTGACATTAATCCTCTTTCTAAGAGTAAAACCCTGGAAATCACCTGAAAAAACACAGACCTCTCATAAAAACCCTTCCAACAGCTAGCATGAAATCAATTACTTTTAGTTTTTTGTTTTAGTAATTAAAGCTAATTTAAGGGACTTCTTTCTGCAGCTAAACTAGCATTTTACCATTTTACATTTTTGACTTCCTATAAAATATTACATGGCAACAACTTTTATCTGTTCACTTGCCTATCTCTTACCTAACCCTTTGCATGTTCGTGCACAGGAGGAGTGTTAAAGTAACGTTAGCATTAGCAGAGCCGTTTCAAATCAACAGTCCCTTTCTGTTTGACTCCCGGGAACCTGGGGGAAGGTTCAGGTAAGTGTTTACAGTTAAAAGAAAAAGTCAAGTCTGTGGTTTTTTTTTTTTTTGTTTGTTTTTTTTTTTTGCTGTGTTCCTTTAGGCATTTCACAAGAACGTTCAGGAAGTGAACAAACACAGAAGGTACCGAACAAATTTACAAATTTAAAAATATGTTAAATATGTTAAAACATCAGCTGACAATTGCAAACCTTCTGCAAATTTGTATTGCAGGCTCACAACTTTTAACCGATAATTACGTTTGACTATAGACCTTTTTGATTACTCCTAAGTCAAACTTTTCTTATTGTTAGTTAATTTTAAACCTGGTTTTCTCAGAATTAACTTGAAGTTGTCTCGTATTTTGTTGTCTACATTTTACGTGACTCCTTTCTAATCTGACTGCTAAAATAATAGGTCCAATAACGCTAAGTTAACGCTACATGAAGTACAGTTTTCCCATTGACTGTAATGAGGCCTGAACATCACCATGACTGAAAACATAGGTGGATTGTTTATCAGCTTCTGATTCATTTAAATAGTTACTATATCGAAATAAAAGCACCGGACATACAGGCACAAACTCACACCCACCCACACACATAGAAAGCACTAACCTCTGAACTTCTTTGGAGGATTCTCCAGATCTCCAGCAGCAGGCTCTACTACACACCGGTCATCTACCAACCTGCCAGAAGAAGAGAAGAAGAACGTCAATGATTATATCATCCATAAAAAAAAAAGAAATCCATCGCTTATTCACTATACGCTCCCCAGGTCATCGGTCCATCACAGGACCAGTATGGAGACACATTCTTGGAGTATTCTTATAGTATTTATACCCTTTTTAGTAGACCAAAGACTTGGTACAGTGAAGATCATCGTCTATGCTCTATTGCGGGGGTGGCCAACCAGTCAAGAGGCTAGGAGTCACAATTTTTAACGTTACTGCAAAGAGCCATGGGCACGCATGAACTAACCCCAACCCTTTAAAAAAATAAAATACAACTCTCCCACTCAGTTAAAACTTCCTGGATACATCTTTTCATTTGTGCAAAATTGGACATGATTCGACATGCTATCCTACCAATGTTGATCCCGCACACTTGAGGAAACAGAACTCTTGGCTGTTGTTCTATTTTTATTCTTGAAATCATCTAATATATATATGTGTGTAAGCCTTGTTTTGCTGTTGCATACTAAAATGTATAAAATAAATATATGCGTCACCTCCATTGTTGTGTGTGATTTCGGGTTTGTCATTGTTTGTTAGGATTCGCGTTGTGCTTCAGTTTTCTTGTCGATATCTTTTTTTTTTTTACAAAGGCATTTCTTTGAGACATAACTATTGAATCTAACCTTGAATAAAGGTGTAATAAAAGCATCACTCCCAGTATTATTTCTAGTTCCTGGTATGAAATCTGTTGTGAAGTCAAAAAAAAAAATAAAAAAAATATATATACATATATATACACACACACACACATATACATATACATACATACATATAGATATATATACACACACACATATATATATACATATATGTATATATATACATATATAAATATATATACATATATATAGACATATATATACACACATATATACATATATACTGTATATATATAACAACTAAAAAAAGCCACAAACAAAATGTTTGATTTTAGTAACGCTTGGAAACAATGTGAGCAAATTTTTCATTAGACGACGAAAATGTTCCGAAAATACGTACAGTGTAAGACGTGTTCACTGTTTCTAACACTATTACTTATAACCATCATCCCCATTGTAGTAATATCCTTAACCGCAGTATCCTTACCATGAGTATTATTATTATTAATATGAACAGAATTATTGTGTAATTTCTTGTTGTTGTTGTTAGCATCATCTGTCAGCGACAGGCACAAACTGCAACTGAAATACGTAAAGTAAGAGTTTAGCGTCTTCCTGTATAAGCACACAGGTGAAACAACACACACACACACACCTGGTCTCTGACTGTATGAGGTTAATGTGTTAGTGAATGGAAAGGCAAGCCAGGTGTGTATCAGTGTTAGTGTTAGTGTTGGTGTGTGTGTGTGTGTTGGTGGGGTCTTTACAGTTAATCTCTCCTGCCATCAGTGTTTAGACAGCAGGTGAGTTGAGGGGGAGGAGCGCGCACGCACCCCCAGTAGTCTTTTCCATTGTGTTGACAGACATGTATGGACATTCTTTAACCATCCACTAAACCACACCGTGGTTCTAACATTGACTATAAATAGCCACCTTACAGTACCAGGAACTTTTTCGGAACAACCACACCAATGTTACACACACTTTAAATGAAAGTGAAACTAGCCGAAACAGACGCCCAAACCCGGGGTCTACTTTTTGTATAAACAGGATCAGGTTTGGGCCCTAGAAGACTAGAAGAGATTTTTGTAATTTTCCCAAAATGACAACAAAAACTACTTTCAAAAACATGCAGGCGTAAATATACATCATCCTAATTACTTACACTATCGTAAATCTGACCCTAATTCTGACCCAAACTGAATCTTAAACTTTTAAATACCCCGTGACTCAGGGAGTATCTGCCAGAAAGAGAGAGAGAGAGAGAGAGAGAGAGAGAGTGAGAGAGAGAGAGAGATGTAAATGATGCAGCCTCAGGAACAAAAAAAGAGCCACATATGAAAATCAGCCGAAACATCTGATCGGAGAAGTGCTCTGGCCGTCAGAGTCTACTCAGTTTTTCTCTCTCTCTTTTACAGCTGTCACTGAATAATCAATAAAACATGCACTAAGTTTTTCAAGACCTCGTCACCGTCTGCCGAGTAACATCAAGACATGAAAAACATAATGAATGCCAAACATTTTTTTCCTTTCGCTTTTTTCTTCTCTTTGTTTTTTTTTTTTTTTTTTTCATTAGGAGACATTTAGACCGCCCAAAGAGCCCATCACTGACACAACGGCCAATCAGCTGCTTTTGTCTGTCTGTCTGTCAGTCACTGTGTCCATCTGCGGGCAGAGTGTCAGGGATGTAAACAGGTTCTTAAGCACCTAAAAAAACTACAGGTCTCACTGCTTTTTTGTCCTTTTTTTTGGTCCCTGTCTCACTGAATCTCTGGGACTTTCCCTCGGTGCGTCTCTCGATGACTGTCTCTGAGAGCAAGGGCAGACCTGACCCTGTCTCTTTTGCTACCCCCCTGCAGCAGATCTCCTCAGATCCCAGATATTTGCATTAGGAGTGGACATATTTAAATCCTGTTTGTTTAAAGTATCATTAGCCTTAAACAGACATGGAACAGAAACTGACAAATCATCTCAATCAACACCCCCAGATCCAGTTTTTGTTCTTTAGGTGTTTTGTTTATTTATCTTCAATCAATCTAGAGTCTTAATAATATGTACCAATCATATGGGCCCTATATTTCACTCCACATACTAGGCAGATTTTAAACTAGTCTGCCCTGACACAAGCCAAGTTGGATAATTTTTTAATGACTGTTTTACTAGCTTTAACTGTCTGTTTTTTTTTTTTACTAAGTAAGAAAAACTAATTTTGATCCTTCTTTCACCTATCTTCAACTAATCGTCAGCTTTTCTGGAAAGATTTAAGTTGAGTTTTTAGTAGGGATGTCCTACTGTATATTAACTTTTCACCGATATCTGATATGCTGATATTGTCCAAACCGATACCGATATAGACCTGGTAATATTTATGTATTCATCTGCACAAACCGCTGTATGTGCATGAGATTAATTAAACGAGCTGCAATGCTGCCATCTAGTGACTTTCACTTTAATATACAACCGTTTATCCCCAAAACTATTTTTAGGGCACACATCATTTGGCGAAACCCAGGCACTGCGGTATCGGGTTTTCATTATCGGAGGAAAAACCAATAACGATTCATACAGATTTTACATAATATGCTAATATCGGGCCGAGGTGATTTCCTGAAACTAAGAGTGAATAACCTTGATCTACTGGAATTTTTTTTTCTTGTGACTTGAAACAGTCGTGAAAAGAAAAAAATTCATAACAAGTGTTTTTTTTTCTGCACTGAATAAAGCTGCTCAGAACCTCATCTGAAGATAATCAACACATCACCCATGTAACACAGTTTTCAATTTGTCTTGTGTGCGGTTTCATGACTTCAGGTTTAAGTGGGTGAAGCTTGTTCTGTTTACTTAAACAGGTGGAGGATTATTGACATTCTTCTCATTTACATGTTTGCGGTTACGGCTGATGAGATAAATGGTCTTCTGCTCTATTTGTATAACGTCCTTCATCGCGACATTTAATGAGCCTTAAATAAATAAATATATAAATATATATATAAATACAGTATATATGTATATATATATATATATATATATATATATATATATCTGTTTACGTCTTTATCTCACTTTTAGACAAACTTTTTGGTGATCGCCAGCTTTTGGGTTCTACCAGCAGGGGCGCTTACATCGCAGCTATTGACTTGTGGCCATTAGTGCTGCCATAATTAACAATAAAAACTAAACTTCCTCTTTAGAAAAATAAAAATAGGCGTTAAAGTCAAGTCAGGGATAAGGGAGGCTGCAGGCTTGCCACAAAGGTCAGGGCCCAGTCACTCACTCACACACACACACACACACACATACTGTTGTGACTACTTCACATAGACGACAACGCATTCCCTTGCGTTACCTTAACCTTATATTTAGGAAAGTATACTTTATCGTAATGCTTATAACTAACTCCAACTCAGCCCAAATCCAAATTAGAAAGTACTTGAATACTCTCTTTCCTGGACAAATCTATACCTACACACAGACACACATGCACACACACACACACACCACTACTCAGGCACAATGGAATCTTTCTTGGACAGACTTTGTACCACTTCCTTTTCCTGACATACAGTTAGGCCCTGCTGCTGCCACTGTGTGTGTGTATCTCTGCCTCAGAAATGTCACAGGGCGAGTTTAAAACAACTGCAGGTGCTCGTGTAATGTCACTGATGATGTCACATCGATGATTTCACTGAATTAAACACAGAGGCAGTGAAAACGGTATGTGCCAAACAGCAGAAGTTACGAGTCAAAATACAAAACCAACTGACAAGTTAATAAAAACTACTATCTGTAGCTTGGAAAGGCATCTTTAACACGTGTTTTTTTGTGTGTGTGTGTGTGACACAGTTAGTCCTGTTTGTTCAAATTACAAATTTAATTGTGTTGTCTGCAACAGAGTCCAAAAAACGTCAGGAATGAGGTCCAAGTCTGGCTGAAACGTTTACAGAGTTTCTTTCTGGAAAATTCTATAATTGGTTATTAGCATTTCCAATGCTAACGTGTTTAGGAGCATGAAAAGAATACTTGTATTTTGAAGTTTCTTAACTTAAGAGAAGGAAGAAAAGATGGCTGAGACAAAAAAAGAAGACAGAGGACAGACAGTAAGAAGGAAGAGATATTGGTTTCATCAAAAGACAAGTGTGTCGACAGAAGACAATGATGAGATGAGATATGTTAGAGCCGGAAGACAGTCAAGGTGTGAATACAGTAGTTAACATGCACAGCTGCGAGGGACAGAAATGCAAAAGCTAAACACGAATTAGAGACAACGGGGACAGCACCAAAAAAAAAAAAAAAAAAAAAAACTCACCCCAGTGTACTGATAAAACCATTGACTGTCCCCTCGGCATAGAGAGACACAATGTCTCCAATGTGGAGGAAACTGGACGCCGAGTCTGACATCGTGACCGATAGCTGAATGACCAGGAACCGAGTCTGTGGGACAGGTGCACAACTGGAGATGGAGACGACGTCTGTGTCTCTCTGTGAGCAGAAACTCACATGAAAACGTTTTGGTATAAATCCTCAAATCCAGATCAACAGGCTGAGGACGAGTCCATAAGCAGAATCTCTCTGTGAATTGTCTGTAGCCAAACTACGATAGGTCCATAGGTGGAGACCCTCCGGTGTCTTGCTGTAAAAAAAAACCTACGATAGGTCCATAGGTGGAGACCCTGTAAAAAAAAATCATACAAATGGACCAAGGATTGCGTTATTTCTCTGTCTCTTAAGAAGCAAGAACTTCTTGTAGAGTATTATTATCGGAGTCTCCAACGAGTGGACAAGTCCCTGACAGGAAAGAGGGACAGAGAGACTCTGCCTGAGGCAGGACCTGCCTAAGTTGTCGTGGAAGTGAATTAAGTCATTAAAACGGAGACAAGATCTCTAGTGGAGACCCCTAGTGTTCTTCTGGGTGAACAAACTCTTGTCAGTTGAGTCTCAGTAAAGTCCTCTCTTAGTGCAGCGGTTGATCCTGATGCAACTCTCGAACCATGAGACATGTCCTCAAGTGTCTGAACAAGTCCGGATCCAGACTGTGTCAATGTTTTCTGCAGAAACAGAAGGAAAAAGTCCAGTCCCGGTGCAGCGACTAATTCCACACGAGTCCTTCAGTGAAGACACATAATGTGCGCGTGTCAACGTGAACAGAAACTGACTTCTAGTTAATCCGGAACAAATCCACGAGTCCACATTCGCGGACTGTGTGTTCCTCCCGCGTCTCGTAGCCTGTGAAGTAAAAACTCAGTGACGCTACTGTATGTCCGTGTCTGTGTCTGTGTGTGTGTTCGCGCGCATCACCTGCGGGGTTTTGCTGCCGGGTTCTACAGGACACATAAACGCGCGCGCGTGCACTGAAACTTAAAAGACACGCTCGAGGTGTTTGTGTGTGTGTGAAAGTGTGTGTGTGCGCGCAGAGAGAGGGGGTGTGAACACACACACACAGTCACATTTTCTGTGTTTGTTAAACTGTGGTTGTAAAAACCAGGAAGTGAGTGAAGTGTTGATAAAAGACACGCACGCGCACAGCAGACAGCGCGTAACACAAGCAGTAGTTGCACTGGCAGGTTTCTTAGCCCCGCCCACAACGCCTTCTCTCTACCTATTAAATCCTCTGCATTTTCCTGTTTCATTCATCTTTCATTTCTTATTCTTTTAATGGTTTAATGGCTGCAGAGGAAAACCTGTGTTATAGAGGGAGGGCCAGGACCAGCTCAGGGTGGGACTGATGAACTGTCCCCTGATGAATGTGTACCCCTTCATGTCCAATCCCTTGACAACAGGGATTGGACGCCGCCGCCTGTTTGACCCCGCAAAGCAATAAGCGGTAGATAATGGGTGAATGCATAGATAGATTCAAAAAGTCAAAGACTTGTTGACCTGTTAGCGCAATTTTAACTAAATAATGCAACACAATGAGTGCACAGCTGTTGTTATGAATCAAAATACGAAACTAAGTCAAAAAGGTGAGGAGGAGGAACATAGTACTGTAGTGTTGAGGGTAGGACGGCACACTCAGAGGACAACCTTTGCCATTTTCTTACAAAATTCTGGGCTTGACAAGAGTTTGGTAAAACCTATAAAATGACTTTACAGCATGTACATAAGGTCAGGTGACTCGGTGTGATTTACTTTTTGTTTCCCCTGCTACAAAGAGGTAACAAACCCACAGTTGTTGTTTGATCATTAGTATTCAGTCCACTGCAGACAAGCTGTTCATCAGTAGTTTTATACTGTGTGTGTGTGGTGTTGTGTTGCCAGCGAATGTGTGCCGTTTCCACTGCGACACTGGACAGTATTTTCTGCTCGGAGTTACAAAGCAGTTTACGGCCCATTTACGGTTTACAACTACCACCGGATGTTACGTTTTTAGACCCTCAAGAGAAGCTCATTTAAAAAAATAATAATAAATTAGCTACAATATTGAAATAAGGCGTTTTCTGCAAAATCCTGCTGTAATGGACTGTTTGGACTGGTTTGGACTGGACTGGAGAGTTTATTTCGAATATGAAAGTAAAAGTAAAAAAATGTTTTTTAAAGACAAAACATAATATTAACTTAAGAAGACAGATCAGACTCAGCTAGTAACGCTCTATCTACATCCACATTTAAATGTTTATACATATTCTACAATTACTTTTGCGCATCAAGTTGCAAGCGGTAGGCTGCATTATTTCAAGTTAGTGGTCATACCATGAAACTACACACTCCAGTACAGTAGGTGGCAGTATCCTAAGTGACATTCAGGTGTTCAAACAAAACGTGGGAAGCACTTCTTCTTCCACAGGCACAAACAGTGTTTTCCTGCATTTCCGTAAAAGGAACTCTTTCCAGAGATACATATTGATGAACAACTTGAGTTTATGAAATACACAAGAACTGTTTAGTCGGTACTGGTATTTTGCATGGTTCATGATAAAATCATACTGTGGACAAAACAAAAAAAAAAAAAGTTTGCATCATATCATAAGTTGAGTGTATCGTTATATCTCTAATGTGGACTAGTACCCTAGTAATGTCTACTGCAGACAGATTTTTTGGTATATCTGAGTAAAGGATTTCCAACGCTGAGGTCACTGACACTTCCCACACTCTCTCTTCCATGAAGGTTGTGTCTGCGCGGTAGTGCATTCGTGCGTTCATGCGCTGATCTGTGCCGTCCCATGTCTTTTACTGCCTGTACTAAGGGCCATATATAGAGTTGGTGCCGCAAAGCTGAGATTAATCTGATTAGATAACATTAGTAACCTGTTCCTCAAACGCTTCCTGAAGACAACGTCAGATTCATAATGACTTTCCATAGAAACGTTCAGTATCAGCATAAGATTTTATTTTTCACTAACAGAGTGCAAATAGATGGTTAACGTTGCATGGATAGGTTGTTAAAGGGCCAGTTCTACCTGGAAGACTGTATAGATCAGGGGTCCCCAACCCCCGGTGCACGGACCAGTACCAGTCCATAGATCCTTTGGTACTAGGCCGCAGTGGTACACAACGAAGATATGTACTTCATTTTTACTAATTAAATTAAAAATTAGGTTAAGAAACTTTTAAGGTTTTTAAGATCCCACGGCTTAGCGGGCCACATTTGGCCCCCGGGCCTTGAGTTTGACACATATGATCTAAAGTAATCATCGGCTTTATTTTTGTTGGCCTTTAAAACTATCTTAAAGACATTTTTAAAAAAAATATGTCAGGTAACTGTTCAAAGCTGACATGTTGCTGTTCGTGTTGACTTAGTTCATAATATTTAGCTCTACAGACAGTTGGCTGGGTATTTTACACAGGATTACCTGCTGATCTATTGTTGGCAAACACATAAACCAACAGACATAAAATATATGATAGATTTTTTTTTTAAACTGAACAGGTCTCCTGAGGGCGTGTGTGTGTGTTCTGACTGATAACACATTGATAGCCTGACATCAATAAATCTGTGTGGTCTTCACTTTGACCAGATGTTCTTCTGTGTCAACCTCCAAGAACGGACTAGTTAACTTTAACCCAGGCGTGGGCAAAGTTTTTTGTTTTTTTTTCATGGGCCATAATTGTCCCAAACTTGAACGGGGGGCCGGGTTAGGAGCAGATAGATGGAGCGTTTGTTTTAACTAAGATAAATGTCATGTAAAAATCATGCATAAAGACTAAAATGATAAAATGCTTTTATCATTTTCTATGCCATCTATTGGGGAAACATGGGTATTGCAGGGAACAGGAAGATAGTATAGTAAGCAGTATAATGATATTATAAAGAAATTATAAATTTTGGAAAAGTTTGGTGGGCCGGATTAAAAAGTTGAGCGGGCCGCCTTTGGCCCCTGGGCCTTAGTTTAGCCATGCCTGCTTCAGAATAAAGTACATGTCAGTGTTAACATATGCTGTCCAATTGTAGTTGTACTGTAGTGGTACTGTAGTAGTTGTAGTTGTACTGTAGTTGTCATTAAGTATTTATAAATATCATATATTTCTCGGTCTAATACATATATTATCAACGTTAATAATTAATTGTAGTGCAAAGCATTTGAAATTATTGTATCCATGCATCAGTCCAAATGTCCTATTAGAAAATCCAGACATTGCATGACAGTGACACACAAAAGTTTTTTTTATATCAAAACCGCCAGAAGTGGGCAGCAAAACAGTTTCTAATCCAACGTGTGTTGGCAAGAAATTAAAAGGTGAAAATGAATTCAAACAAATGTGTTAGTCCGTTGTTGTGTTAGTTAGTTTGTATGCCGATTGCCTATGTTTAAAAGCCCTCTCTCTCCCTGACCCCTCCCCCTCCCTTTCTCCCTCTGTCTGTGTGTGTGTGTGTGTGCACGTCTCCCCACGGTGTGTGTGTGTGTGCGTGCGTGCACGTCTCCCCACAAACCCTGCCAGCAGCGCAGTTCTCCTGGTTCCCAGAGCAGTCTCCCAGAGATCCGAGACTGACTCAGTGTCTCTGCAGCTCTGCGTCCAGACACAGCAGCCTCTGCACTCTGATACTTTCCCATAATTCTGCTGGAGCTTCAAAACTTTCAGCAACCCTGACTGGACTACTGAGGGGCCGAGAGAACGCAGGGGTTGTGAACAGAGAGCATCTGGAACTTGGGGACGAAGAGAGACAGAGACAGAGACATAGGACCAGAAAGCGTCTCATGAACAATTAAATTGTTCTTGTTTTTTTTTTTGTTTTTTTTTTTTTGAGCATTTCTCTTATAACTCGCAAAATATCTCTCTCTAATTCTGATATTGACATTTAGCAAAAATCAGTATCAAAATTGATCTGCAATAATTTTTTTTTTCTTTTTCTTGAAGAGCTGCTTTAAACTTGACATTAAAAACCTGCACCATGTCGCCCGCTCTCGGCATCTTCCTTTTTCATTTGTTGCTGCTTGGAATCGAAGCTCGGAGCGTTAGGAAACTCGGACAGGTAAAAATGCTAGACACTGACCACGTCCCAGATCAGAAGCTCCTCCCTCTTTCAGAGTTACTGGATTTGGACGAGGAGCAGCGCCACCGTCTGGTCCGGGGTACCGAGGAGGAGGAGCAGCAGTCCACCTTTGGACAGTCTTTCGAGAACGATTCAATGACACCTCCACATGCTACCGAGTTTAGCCACCCGTACAGTGTCGCAGCAGGGGGCCCCGTGGATGAGGGCAGTCTTCAAGGAAACGTCTCGTTGTCTAATGACGCAGTTCCCGAGTTCCTTAACCCGTTTTACCCACTGGCCGAGAGCTCGTATGCAGCGTTTGCCATCCTCTTCCTCGCCGGTGTGGTGGTGGTCGTGGGCGTGGTGGGAAACATGGTGGTGATGTGTGTTGTTTGGAACAATTACTACATGAGGTCCTCCTGGAACTACTTGCTGGCCAGTATGGCCTTCTGGGATTTCCTAGTTCTGGTGCTCTGCCTCCCAGTGGTCGTCCTCAACCACCTGTCCCACAAAAGGATCCTCGGTGAAATCACCTGCCGCATGGTGCCTTACATGGAGGTAGGTGGGGCCTCGAATGTAGTTCGAGAGGAAAATGTTTTGAGAAAAGACATCCGAGCCTGAAGAGGGCACTGGAGGGATAGTATAGAAAGTCAAGCCGTGAAAGGTCTACCAGTGGGTTACGACACCTGGGTTTTAGTTTTGGTGGCACGTCAACACTGTAGACCATCAACAGTAACGGATCCGATCAACGCAGTCTTGGAATAAGAACGCGGAATTTTATCTAATTTATTTGCGTAGCAACACTGTTTGTATGTTGTAGAAAAAGAGTTTTTCAGATTAGCCTAAACCAGTGGTTATCAATTCCCTTCCCTTCCGACCCACACCACCGCAAATTGAAATACTATTGAGAACCTGATAACATATATATTTCTATCTGTACAAACCACTGTATGAGTTGCTGCCACCTAGTGACTGGAGGCTTGTTAACACTTATGTCCAACGTGCCATATTCCATTGGAAGACCCTCAGGCGCACCTCACCATCGCTGACCATGCAACATGGTAAACAGCTGGGCTCCTATTGGCTAGTCATTACAGTTGCAATCACTAACAGTGAGCTCAGAGATTTCACCTCGGATATCGATGCAAAAAACTACTGATTACCATGGAAACCATTGACTCGGTTCACCATTTCAATCCTTCGCGGTGAAATCCTGCTCGTTTCTAATAGCAGATGTTCACTGATGCGTCCCATTACCGTGAGTAGGACTTTGTAGATTCAATTATAAAACAGGAAGTTCTTGTTCTTTCCAGTCGGACCTTAACTTCACCCAAAACACAAAAAAAACTTCCATGCAAGTCTGTTTTTAAATACTGAACTGAAGAGAAAGTTAGGAACCAGCATTTGACGTTGACATCTTCCTCAATTCTCCAGGTGGTATCTCTGGGCATCACCTCCTTCACCCTCTGCGCTCTGGGCATCGACCGGTTCCACGCTGCCACCTCGTCGTCGCAGCTAAAGGCGCGGCGCGTGGAACACTGTCGCACGGTTCTGCTGAAGCTGCTTCTCGTCTGGATGTTCAGCCTGCTGTTCTCCAGCCCCGAGATCTTCCTGTGGCAGCTCAGCCAGGAAGTGTTGCCCTCCAAAGGTCAACTGGTGGACGCCTGTGCCATCACGAACTCCTCCCCTCTGTCCCTCTACCTGCCGGACTCCCTTCACTCTCTTCTTCTTCGGTATCACCAGGTGAGTTTCGGCTCAACGGAGATGTAGCGCTAGTTCACAATTTGGCAGTTTTATCAAATATTCTATGAGTCATTTTTGTTCTAGACAAGGGGTGTCAAACTCGTTTTGGTTCCGGTTTTCCGCATAGTCCGATTTAGATGTCAGGTGGGCCGGACCAGTACGATCATAACGTAATTACCTATAAATAACAATACGTCCATGTTTTTCCTCTTTGTTTTCATGCAAAGAAGTACAAAGTATATCTGATTCTAAAAATAATTGTATTAATTATAATGAAATGTCATTTTGCAAAACATTTCCTGAACACGAAATGTACTTTTTCAAAATTTTCAAAAAACAATATCATTTTACAAAACATTTCCTGAATGTGAAATGTACTCAATCAAGCGGGCCAGATTTGAACCACAAGCGGGCCGGTTTCGGGCTGCGAGCCGTATGTTTGACACCCCTGGTCTAGACGGCTATATGAAAACTACAGAACTATTAAAACAGCAGCTATAAAAAAATAAAAATAAAGGCAACTGCAGTAGCTTCAGTAGCTTTCGCCAGTAGCGCCAGGTGTAATCAGATTACTTTTGCACTTTGTACTTGTAACTTGTAACAGCAGAACCTGTACTTTGTGGCCGTCTCAGGGTCGTATGTGGTGGTGTTTCGGCTGCTACTTCTGCGTCCCTGTTCTCTTCACCATTCTCTGTCAAACGGCCACACGCAACGTGAACAGCGACTACAACTCGACCAAAAAGCAGCGCGACCACGAGGAGCGCTCCTCCGAGCAGAAGCACCAGCAGCACCAGGCTCTGGAGCGCCAGCTGAACTGCACGCTGTTCGCCTTAGCGGCGGTGTACGGGATCTGCGCTCTGCCTGAGCATGTCTGCAACATCACCTTTGCCTACATGAACATAAGTGTCTCTGAGGACACCGCCGCCATGCTGGCTCTGTTGTATCACTTCCTGCTGTACATCAAGTCGGCGATCACACCTGTGCTGCTGCTCTGCCTCTGTAAGGTAGGCCAGGATGAGAACGAGTGAAGAACGGTATTTAAGGTGACTGTAAAAGCATAACCTGGAACAATTTAATCTTTGCAATAATTTTTTACCGTATTTTCTAGACTATAAGTCACTCTGGAGTACCAGCCAAAAAATGCATGATGAAGAAGAAAAAAAACATATATAATTTGCACCAGAGTATAAGTTGCACCAGTGCCCTCTAGCGGCTGTCAGTGTGAAATTAACAAACATGTACATTTTCAGTGGTACAAGAGAAGCAGATACTGGTACACAAGCCTAGAGCGCCCTCTAGCGGCTGCCAGTGTGAAAATATTGAACATGTACATTTTCAGTGGTACAGGAGAAGCAGAAATTTGTATACAAGCCTAGAGCGCCCTCTAGTGGCTGTCAGTGTGAAAATAACAAACATGAGAAATGATATATTTTAATATATAAGTCGCACCTGATTATAGGGCGCACCAGTGCCCCCTAGGAGCTGTCAATGTGAAAATAACAAACTTGTACATTTTCAGTGGTACAGGAGTAGAAGATACTGCTACACAAGCCTAGAGTGCCCCCTAGCGGCGGTCAGTGTGAAAATAGCAAACGTGAAATGATACATTTTAATATACTGTATAAGTCACACCTGAGTATAAGTCGCAAACCCAGCCAAAGGATGAAAAAATTGAGAAGTTCAGAGGTGAAAGTTTTAAACATATTTAGGTTTCATTTTTTTATTTATGTTAGCAAAACAATTCTACATTTAAGTCCATCGATAACATTAGAGATTTAACTATAAGGCACTATTTTCCTCACCATCTTTGAGTTTGAGCCATATAGAACCCATCGTGTTGACAGATGTTATCAGTTGTCATGGTAACAACCCCTCCACTACAGCGTTGTTTGTCTGGTGGTGTTTCAGGCTCTGGGTCAGGCCTTCGTGGACTGCTGCTGCTGCTGCTGTCAGGAGTGTAAGGTTGACGCCTCTCAGGACTCACCAGGTTCTGCCCAGCTCAAACTGAAGGCAGCCAATGAGACATCCATCCTATTCGACAAGGCTAAAGACACGTCGGCCATCTTGTCCATCTCCAGCTAGAGCTACTGGTCGGCTGCGTAAACCAATCACCCCTTCTTGCCAACATTTAGAATTTAATAACTGCTTCCACTCCGACTTATGTTTATCTCTTCAATGAATTTTTTATTTTTTTTCAAATTCATCTCCATAATTTTTTCTTCTTTTTTTTTAAAAAGGAAATCTTAATTTTTTCTTCTTTTTTTTAAAAAAAAGAAAATCTTCCTCCATGGACACAGAGTCAAAGTCAACTCTTCTTTCTTTCAGTAAAGGATGTTATTCATGTTAGTCATTTACTCTTCTTTCTTTCAGTAAAGGATGTTAAGTCATTTGAAGTAAGAGAAGTCACTGTTGTAAAAAGCAGGATCCTAGTGCAGGCCTCTGCATATATCCTTATCGGTTGATATCACAATTGGAAATGAAGTGTTTGGACAATATCGGCATACGGGATATCGGCATCCCTAGTAAATATAGTTCAGAAGGGTTGGTGAGAAGCAGAAAGCAAGTCAAGACAAAAGTACCAGGATGTGGTGTCGGGTTCGAAAGGTCAAATGGAACGAAATGAAACACAACCGTGTTTCCACAGTTCCGTCAGATAATAAGATGAATGCATTTGTATTAAAAGTTTTTAAATCGTTTTTAAAACAGATAGGTCATGGCTTTGCACCAGTGGCTGAATGAGGTTACTAGCGCGACGTAGTACGATGCTTCTAAACGACGTGACCAGTCAGGAACCAACCTCAGCTAAAAAAAAAAAATAAAAAAAACGGTCCACTGCTGCCTCCTGTGGTAGAGCTCTTTCACAGATAATTTCAAACGTTGACGTCACATTGTAACACATTTAATTTAGCTGCCGTGTGCTTGGAGGTGCATCTCACTCGTGTTTCTCTATTCAGAGTGAACTTGTTAGAAATTTCAGGCTCCACTTTGAACAGCCCGATAAGCGGTTAGTGAACAGTTTGGATTTTTTTTTTTCGTAATTATTTTTGTCTTTTCATAGTCGTCTTTTTCACTCCCATTTGTTGTACAGTAAGCCAGTCGATCGTCGGACGTAAATTTAAAAAAAAAAAAAAAAAAAAAAAAAGTTTTTGAATAGCTGAATGAAAACTAAAATATTACCGCACTGAACCTCAGACGGGGATCGATTTAACTTGACAAACCTCATAAAGTCCGGATCAGTCCAGAGAGAACTTCTTTAATGGCATCATTGTTCACGAATGCTGACTTGTTGTATCGAAACAATCTTGACCACTGAAAAGGAGTGTCAAACTTTTGCTTTGGTTTCTTAGAAAATCTTCATATTTAATTACATATAATTTGACAAAACAACACAAGACATTTCTTTTTCACTTCAAAAAATTCATCAAGCGGGCCAGATTGAACAACCCCCGTGGACCTGTTTTGGCCCCCGGGCCGTATGTTTGACACTCCTGTTTTATGGGGCAAAAAAAAAAAAAAAAAATGTACAAGTGCTGAGGAAGAGATGTCAAGAAGCCGGGACACAAATCTCATCTCAGGACCAAGGTGGTTTCCTTTTTCCAGCAAATTAAACTGAAATGAAACGTCTCACTTTTCCATAATACAAATGTGTAGTTTTTTTTTGTAACTTTAAGATGTTTTACTAATGACATGTCTGTGTGTTAAAAAGAGTAAATCTCTCTGTCATAACAATGTCTGTGACTCCTGCTTTTATACTGAGATGATACTATTGAGAACCTGATATATTTCCATCTGTACAAACCACTGTACGAGTTGCTGCCACCTAGTGGCTTGGAGGCTTGGTATCATTCAAGCATTACAGCAGTGGTACACTTATGTCCAATGTGCCATATTCCATTGGAAAGCAGTACTTCTCAAATAGTATTTGAGAAGTACTGCTTTAGTCCAACAGTTCTAATATCAAGACAAGACTGTTGTTACACTGATTCGAGCCATGAATAACACGGTTATTTGGAGACAGAGAAGTCTGAAAAGTTTAGTCTTTGTGAGAGAGCCGCAGATGAAGTTTTACTTCAAATAGATAAAAGTAATCAAGGACAATGTTTTTTTTTTTTTGTTTTGTGTCAGGACCATGTGTCCCCCCTCCACTGAGCTACTGCTCAGAATATCAATGAACCCGTCCCGTCGCCGTGGGAGACCAGACCGCATTCACGCGTCAGACAAGAACACACGCATCCGCAAACATGCCCACACAACTTTTCTGATCAACGAAAAATCTGTTCACGCTGTCTCTGCCCGTTACCATAGTAACCACTGAATGGGGATTTTCCCATTGAAAGAGCTGATGGGAAACAGCAGAGAGAGAGGGGAGAGAGACCTGTGGTACATAGGCGATGTCAGAGACAGAAAAAAAAAAAAAAAAAAAAAATTCCAAAACAAGGACACAATAAAAAAACGACTGACTGAATTAAAACCACTACTGATCTTGAAATAAGTCTAGGAAAATAATCTTGTAAAGTGTTCAGTCATTTTTGAAAATTTTTTTTTTTTTTTCAAAAGTCTCTATATTTGTAGCAATATTTTGGGGAGTATTTCGGAGTAACATCTTCAACTACATTTACTAATATGTTATTATTGTAGGTCGAATGAGGGAGAAAATGATCTGAAAAAAAAATTTTTTTTTTAAATGAATGAGATTCAGCAAATACACAAAGAAACTGCAAAAAGCTCAGGGGAACCTTTCTGGACCACTACGTTCTGTGAGGAGGAGGCTAACGTTCTCATTAGTAGTGATGAAGAGTTCACTGCTGTGAAACAAACCAGCGAACAGAACGCCTCTGTTCACTAATGAAGCCACACACACACACACACACATACTGAGTGACTAGACCTTCGCTGGTCACGTGACATAACCTCGGCCCCAGATGGGACGGAAACCAAGTGCTCCAGTGTATCAAGAGGAAGGTCAGAGGTTCAAGTCCCACATTCGACTGTGAGATGTACGAGTGTTACCAAAAACTGAACTCTGTTCCGAAGAACGAAATTCTGATATTTAACGAAAACTGACATAATGGTCGCTCGGTTACATCGTGATGGGAGGTAGAGCTACAGAAAACAGAGCTAGGAGTGAACAACCGCACCGCCTGATTACATGGCAACAAGAATGATTTAAAACTGAGAAGGTTTAGTTGGTTATATATGTAGCTGCTAAAATTAGCATGCTCTCGCTAGCATTGAAGGCTTCTGCTATGGGCTAACTGGATTCTGTGTACTTTATTAGTATTCTCTCACAAAAGTTAAACGGCTCATGCTAACCAAGCAGTGTTGCTAGTTCCTTGATGTTGAATTTTAATAACAGCGAGATAAATGACAAGGCTAGCACATTTTCTTCCTTCAGAAAAGACGCTTCTTTAATCATTATTTATGTTGCGCGGGCAGGATTTTCCGCTGTGTGCTACACTACATGCTATCTTGCGCGTTGTCCCGCTGTAACTTAATGAGAACTCAGCAATGTAACATTACGGTATAGGAGATTTTTGTACGACGTCCGAAAAGTGACACTATTTTAACAAATGTATTGCAAGAAACGCCTGGCAACACTGGAAACTAACTTTAACGAACAATGCTAGCTAACCTTTTGGCTAATTGAGAAAAAGACTGATCTAACCCAACAAGCTCTAATTGCGTTTGACAACTTAATGATATCCTTCATATTCGTATCACTAGCCACAGACTGCGGCCATCTTTACTTTTGACTGTTGTGGTAATAAATACTTTTTAAAGGAAAAATATACCGCGGAACAACATTTGATTATTGGGAAAAATACTAACAACACAGCGAACAAATGATTTGTCACATTACTTTCTTGGTAATAATTTGAAAGATTTTTCCTTTTATGTGTAAGTCAGTGAGTGAATAAAGAGTGTAGTTCTCTCACACACACACACACAGTGAATACAAAACTGGTTTTGTTCTGTGGGAAAAGACTGATGAAGCAGAGAACAGGAGGAAGGCTCTGTTGTCCTGACAACAAGCTCGGACTTTTGATGGAGAGTGAGGTGACCCTCTTACACACACACACACACAGCCAAAGTACTGCCGGCAGGAAACACTGGGGCCTGATTCTTTGTTAAGTGCCATGTAAGTACACACACACACATACAAATACACACCGACGCACACATTTCCGTGCACGGCCACACACACCGACGGAGGTGGACTGGCAAACTGTCCAGATTGTACCCTGCCCTCGCTTGTTGACAGCAGGGATCAGCGCCAGCGCTCCTCCGAAAACGCTGCAAAGGAAATAAGCGGTAGATAACGGACGGATGGATTTCTTCACTTTTTGGGTCTGAGAAAGTCATTGTTTTTACACTTTTGGTCTCATTTACCAAACTTTCCCCAAATGGCTGTTGAGGAAGGACTTTTTTTTTTAAGGTGGTTATACCCTATAACTACCTTAAAAAAAAAGTCCTTCCTAGGGTACACACTTTTTGGACAAAAGTGATATTTTTAAAGATTTAATTATGGATTTTGAGTTTCGGAATTTTATGGAATGTGAGCTTTTTAGGATTGATAAACGCCCCTAAGAGTTTTAATTAAAAATAAGAATTTAACCTTAATTTATTTGCTTTATTCCATTGCTTTTACAAAATTATTGCAGTGACATAAATGAATTTGGTTTTTGTAAAAAATAAAAAAAAATAAAAAAATTTGTTTAACACTGCAATTGCTTTTAACAGAGGGAGAAAATGTCTTGTAGTGTTTTTCTTTCTGCTGACATACGCAGACAAACACTGCCACCTTGCGATCAAAACGTGCCATTTCCATGGCCTCGTTTTTTTTTTTTTCCCCCTTCATCAGATTGAAACATAAACACGAATCAAGAGAGATCTTGTGAATTTTAAAATAAAAATTTTTATTTGAAGAACTTCACCCACGTTTCATTTAAGATCCACATGATGTAAACATTGCAGTCAGATCACGTGACATGCCTGGTCCAATCAGCAGACGTCAACATGATAAACAATAAAAAGGTAACAAAAAAAAAACAAAACAAAAAAAAAAAAACAAATTATAAGAATATAAAAGAAATAAAAAATACGTTTCAGTACCACTTCAATAAATCTGGTTGAAGTCACATCATCAGATTATTATTATTAACATTAGTCGTATTATTACTATTATCTTACAAAAACAAAATTAAAACAGTGCAATAAAAATCTTTCGGTTTCTCTTTCGGACGGAGAGAGAAACAGAGGAAACGAGGAGAAATGAAACAAGAGAATGATAGAAGAAGACTGGCAGATTACAACAGACGGGGGATAAGGAGGAAGGAGAGGAGGAGCTTTTAGGGAACACAGATGATAGATGGAGGAGATGAAGTTACCAGAAAAAACAGAGGAATGGAAAAAAAAAAAAAACAATGAAAATGTCGGATTAGAAATAAAGGAATCCAAGAGAATTGTGAGGTTAAAAACCAAATCCTCAAAACCGTCCCCATAAACGGGCATCATACCAATGAAGGACAGAGCCCAGTGAGATGGCTTCAGTTTAAGAAGCTGCTAGACACCAGTGAAGCGCACGCGCCTCCACCGACCGGCCCGTGCCAGAGCGGAAAAAAGAATCAATTTTTATCAACTCAAAAGCCTGTGTTGATGCGTACAGATGCATAGACACTTGTCTTTTTCTGCTGGTTTTAGTTCTGGCCTCAGTATCCGTAGAAACGCTCTCATCTTCATACTGTGTTTTTTTTTTTTTTCCAGAGAGAAAAGTCTGATAAAAAATTGTGCATTATTTGAGCTGGAGCAGAACTAGAGAATAAAAACATTTCTGACCTCACCGTTAATACTGTTGTTTTCACGAACGTCCGGTAGCTGCAAACGAACTTAACTTGACTTGAATTCATCGAAGAGTTTTCTCTCGATCACCATAGAAAACTTTTCTTCAAACCCTGACTCTAACAGGGAGTTTTATTCATTTAAATTAATTTAATTAGATTTTCCAATAAAAAACCTTCAGAGATTGTGTTATCGTTGTCTAGTTTTACTTACAGTTTCTACACATTACAGACATATTTAACTGCGATGATACGATCAACCATCTGCAGTGTAGTCTGTAGGATACAGGCAAGTAAGTAGAAGGGAAAGTGTTATAAAAATACAGTAAGTAGGCTGCTTTGCATCCCCCGGGTCCTATATTGTATATAAAAAAAAAAAAAAAAAAAAAACAAGACAGGAAGTGAGTAGGCGATGTGACCTGCTCTTCTTCCTCTCCTTTCATTTCAACTTTGTTAGTGCTGTCTACCATTTTACATCTCAACATAACAATTTACACAAGATCACTTAGGAGGAATATTGGTTTCAGTCAACATTTGTTTTACGTCATCTTTATGTTACCGATGTTGTCTTTCTCCTTGCAGGAAATCGAGTAGCAGCAGATCTCTCTGTCCTGAATCGCTGACAGGTTCCTAATAAAAGAAACAATGACAAATTTTAACATAGACACCTGTAGCGTTTCATATTTTTGTTCGTAATTTGCATGACTTGTTTGTTTGTTTGTTCAGTATGTGATGTTGTGCACTCACATCCTTTCTATGAGTTCCTTCTCATCCAGAGCTCCAGGCAGGTCCCTCTTATTACCCAGAACCAGAACCTGGCAAATACAAAACACATCATTATTTCAACAACAGTTTTTTTTTGTATTCCTTGCTTCTGATCTGTACGGTTTCTCTTTTTGTTTTGTGCGTGTTGTTGTTTTGATACCGGAATCCCCTGCAGCTGTGGTTTGTCCAGCAGGTTGTGGAGTTCATTCTTTGACGCCTCGATTTTCTCGGGATCTGCTGCATCCACCATGTACCTGAAACCATCAAGAGGAGAAGAAGAAACATTTAAGGAAAAAAAGATTCAAAACTCAACTAAATAATACCATTATTATTATTATTATTTTATTACAATTCTGACTCTGATTTTTGTTCACGTCTTCATCTCAGGATGTTGAAGTTCCCTCAAAGTCCATAAAGAAAACCTGTGATCTCAGCTGATGGTCTACTGCTGCGTGCATCACTGATGTTCATTTAGTCGGAACCCATCTTTTCACAGGATTTAACTGTCTTAGTGGTTACAGAACATTATTGAGTTGTTGTTGTGTGTGTGTGGTGCTGTTTAGGTGTGTGAATTGTCTTTTGCACCATACACATTTTTCAAAATCTTCAGTTCACTTTTCTCAGTGACACAAATCGATCACAGGGTGGCAGCAGCAGCATATCCCTGATTTTTGATCAGGTCGAGGTGAGGAGAGTGAATTTTTTTTTTTTTTTCTCCTTTACTCTCAGACCTGCATTACATTTAAGCATCATTCGGCTCAGTTTGGTACATGGAGACTCACACGATGGCGCTGACTCCCCTGCAGTAACGCTCCCACATACTCCTGAACCGGGGTTGACCTCCGATATCCCACAACTACACAGTGAGACCAGAATATGTGGTGAAACAAGGGCTACGAAAAAACACTCATTACACACATTAACGCACAGCGGGGACAGAAGTGTGTGAACAACACACCTTGATGGTGACATTGCCTTTAGTGATTTTCCTCATGTTAAATCCAACTGTAGGAATCATGTCTTCACTGAACTGACCTGACTGAAACACAAAAACCATGAATTAGGATTAGATACATATCAGGTTTTCAGTCACTCGTTTAAGGTCATTATAGGAGAACATGTGATCTCATTTAAAAAAAAAAAAAAAAAAAATCATCTGGACAACAAGATAAATCCTGAAGAAAACAACTGCATAATTTGTGACGCTGTCCGATAAATGACTTGTTGCATGATTTTCAGACATTGACTGAATTGACCGTCAATCATCACTGGTGTCTATTGATTGACACAAACACCTACACACACCTATATCTACTTTAAAAATTAACTCTCTCTATAAAAAAAAAAATAGTTTTTCATATTATCTTGAAATTCATCCATTAAAATATCATGTTGGATATGGGGACAATGGTCTAAAAACACAATTACAATACTATGACAATACACTTCACAGCTAACATACTTATCATACTTAGCTAACATCTTATCTCATATATGAGAGCAATTCCAGGAATGTCTACAGCATAAGTACAGACGGAATATAAAAATATTTGAGCAGTATGTGCCTCTGCAGTGACAGCTCCCTGACCTCATTCTCACTTTCGTCACTGCAGGGTAACAATGGCCGTTAGCTCTCATGCTAATTAAAGCGGCTGCCCTGTTAGCGCTCCTGTCTGACAGCAGCTGCAATGGCTCCGCTTCTCTTACCGCTATAACGTTGACGAAGGTGGTCTTTCCAGAGTACTGAAGCCCGACCAGGGTCAACTCCATCTCTTCCTTCCAGAAAAGCGCCTTAAACCAGTCCAACAGCTTATTGATGAGCGCTATCATGTCTTCGTCTGCTAACGGCTAATGCTAAAGCTACCGATTTTTTTTTTTTTGCTTCTGTGGCTATCGTTGATGCTAAGTCGCTAACGCCCCGGCGTTGCTGTTTTTGTCCAATTCTTTTTTTTCCCGGACGTTGACAATCACTAATAACGTCACTGATGGTAAAAACAGACCCAGTGGTACCGACTGAGTAAGACAGAACCACGGGACAGCTATATAGGTACAAGCTAATCGTCCGAAAATATTTACGATGCCCCTTGTTTTCCCTACGCGTATGTTTATTAGCGACGCCTTTTACAAGTGCAAGCGCTGACACTGACGGGAAAACAGAGGATACTTCCTGTTCAGGCCTTCAAAATAAAACTCTGACTATCACTTATTTCCTTTAAAATATGAAAAAAAGACCCCTTTTCGACGGCACTTAAGGTCTTATAATAACAAAATACACAGAGTTTATACGTTACTGTGGCATATAATGTATACTGTATTCGCGTTAGATAGTTTTCTCAAATAATGCGGCCACAGGAAGTTACCTTTTAGCCTCCTTTTAGAGTTCGATTGATACATACAGCGAACGAGCACAGAACCAAGAGGAAACGCACTCGCAAGCAAGGCTGTAAAACCTGCCCCCTGCTGTTCAAAAACAGATTACATGCGGTAGTTGAATAGTAGTAGTGAATAGTCGAGGAGTCGAGATACTGTCAAAGCCAGGAAAATGAGCCTGGTGTTCTATAAATAAAGTCAAATAAGACAGGTGTTTGTTATACATTAACACTTAAAAATGGGGTACCGTCTATTTATTCAATTTCTTTTAGGTTTAATGTTGCTTTGGTTTCAGTCTATGGTGACAAACGGGCAAATAAGATTGTCAGAAAATCGTCTGCTCAGCAATTTTGGTGTCATTTGTTGTTGGTTCGGTGGTCGCCCGGGGGTCTTCTTTAGGTGTGTGTCAGTAGGTTTCATGTGGTATCACTTCTTTGGGCTGTGTTCTTTAAGTGA